TGGGGATCAGCTGAGAGTCAGCTGATGCGAGCTTGACTAACGTGACCTGCCAGAACTAACGCTACGCTTGATTTCTTGTTCACAGTAGTAGTAAGGTTGAGATGATGTTTGAGATAGTAAGGTTGAGGTAATGTATTTGAGGTAGTGAGGTTACGATTATGGGCCCTATCATACACCTGGAGCAATGCGGTGCCAGGCGCGACGCAAGTGTTTTTTGCTAGTTTCAGCCAGACGCAGTTGTCATTTTCACGTCCTGCGCCACGTTGTTTAAATAGCAAATGCATTTGCGTGCCCATGGGCGCACTGGTCTGTGTGTTCAGGTGCATTGCTATTTTGAGGCAAATGAAATAGACTGCGCCATTGACCAACAAAAACCCTGGTCTAAAGTCAATGGCGCAGTAGTTTTTTTTTGTTATTTAAAGAGCGCGTTAGTATAGGCGGGTCCACAGCGCGTATACACTCTGCTTATTACACACACAGGGACGCACAGTAGCACACAAACATGCCAAATATTAAAAAAGTAAAGGATTGCAATGTAAAAGATTATTATTGTGTAGGCTACATAAATATAAAACTGCCTACATGTCATAATGGATAGTCATTGCATGTGTCAGAATTAGGCTACCTATTTGCTCGCGCACGAGCAGCTCCGTTTCATCTCTGGAGACGCGTTCTGTCTTTGCGCTTGCAAATTCCGCCATGTAAATAGCAAACCCGCCATGGCACGAGCGCAACTGGCTCTTAAAGGAAATGGGAGATGAGACTCTGATTGGTTTATTGCATGTTATGCCCAAAACACACCCATTACTCATTAAGAGAATAGGGACAACCCTTTTAGACCATGCGCCGGGTGCGCCGACCATTTTTCCTGTCGTTAAACTAGCAAAAGTGGATTTGGACACGCCCTAAGTGCACCTGCACCGTGCGCTTTAGACCATGCACTTAGATCGTTAAAAAATAGGCCCCATGTCTTTAAAACCTTAATTAAAATCTTTAAAACAAAGTAAAATTACTTTTCAGAAAACATACCAGAGAATGTCTTTAATTAATTTTATAAAATGTACTGTATATTACTTGTAAGCATTAATCACATGAGTTTTAAAGATCACAAATACAGTAAAAACAGTAATATTTTGAAATATTACAATTTTAAATAAATGTTTTCTATTATAATATCGCTTAAAATGTTATTTATTCCTGTAGTGAATTTTCAGCATCATTACTCCAGTCTTCAGTCACATGATCCTTCAGAAATCATTCTACAATTCTGATTTGCTGCTTAAGAAACATTTCTTTTTAGTATACATTTTGAAAACAGTTGTGCTGCTTTTTTTTCTTGTTGAAACGGTGATACATTCTTTGAGAAATTATAGAAAGAATAGACTGAATTGAAAACAGCATTTATTTGAAATAGAAATCTGTTGTAACATAATGGTCAATTTTGATGAATTTAATGTTCCCTTGATGATATATATCTGATTAACTACTTAGCTGCATGCATAATTTAAAAATATTTTTTTTTATTTTGAAAAGTCACTTTTCGACGTAACCTACGCTCTCTCTCACCCTCCCGGTTATATTGTTGCTCTTTTGTTAGTTTTGACTGCTTTTATTGTCCTCATTTGTAAGTCACTTTGGATAAAAGCGTCTGCTAAATGACTAAATGTAAATGTAATGTAAATAATTTGGAGCCAGAGAGCCAGGAAAAAAAAACCCTCACTCAGTTCAAGCTGGTCCACAGACACTGCTGGATTGTTTCCATGCGCTACAAAATACAATTAAAGAAGGAGAAGCTGATGTACACATCATAAAATGATGTTAAAAACAGCCTTAGATTTAAATTTAAGACAAAATGGTCAGATGTTCTTCCTTTCATTGAGGCTCAAGATGCACTTTGGATAATTTTTTAATTCTGCTGGAGAAGATGATCATCAGGTTTTGTTCATGTCACACCCTCTACTCTGCCAGCACTAGAACCCAGTACAACCCATCTATACATTAAATTGGGCACTAAGAAGCACAACACATGCTTTCATCACAAAAAGAGGCATGTAAAGGACACAATCATGTCTTCACGACACATATTTGCCACAAGGAACACTATATTTGATTGATAAATGAATGAATGATGGTTCATAAATGAATGGTTCATACAAAAACGTAAATTCTGTTACCATTTTCTTTCAAACTTATAGAAACAGCCAAATTTATAAACATATCATTCAGACCAATTTTGATTTTAATGACAATTTTTTTTTCTGTTTTGCTGAAGAATACTAGAATATAGCATATAGAACACCAGAATATAGTAAACATATAATAGTAATTTTTTACTACTTTTGTAATGCTTTAATTGTGATTTTTGACATTTTGGTTTGAAGTGGAGCCAGGATTATTATAGATAACTACAATTAAGCCTGAAACTAAAACATCACCTAAAACCTAAACCTAAAACCATAAAAAATTGAAATAAATGTTCATAAATATATAAACTTTTGTGCTAGTTTAACTTGATGTACTAAAATAACTAAAATTAAAACCATTTTAAAAAATGTTACTTGAACTGAAATAAACTACAATGTATATAAAAAATAATACATAAAAACTTTATTTCAGCTAAACTTGTACTAAAATAACTGAGATTAAAAGCATTAACCCTTATGTGCTGTTCGTTTGGACGGAGTATACACTCGTGCTGTTTGGGGTCTCCAGAGACCCCAGACAACAAAATGTGATGATAATGTTTTTTTAAAACAAATGTAATTTTACTCAGTTATTAATGCCTTTACTCTACATTTGTGCAGTTTTGGGAGGATTTGTGGTATTTTTTAAATGTATATAAATAAATTAAAAAAGAATTTAAATAAAACAAAAAGCTGATTCAAGACAATAATAAAAATAGTCTCTCAATACAAATATGAGACTGATTGGAGAAGAGATTGATGTCAAATGGGTGAGTAAATAGTGACTGAATCTTCATTTTTGTATGAACAATACCTTTACCATATAAATGTCTTTAAAATGTTTACGTGAACTGCTATAGAGCACAGACGCATCAGGCCTTCTCTTCCTCTCACCTCTTTTCACTTGTGTCTCGCGAGGATGATTCGCTGGCCTATCTCTGCAGCAGCGCAGTACAGAACAGCTCCCCGACCCACTTTATTAAGACTAAAATTACAACACCAACAGGACGGGGAACTGGTCCAGGATGACACACACACACACAGTCTTGCATCTGCACTCTCAGAGATCCAGAAAAAAAGACAAATTCACAGCCGTCGGTGCACCTCTTTATCTCAAAAATGTATGTGCAATGCAACCGAAGGCCAAAATCAATAGCGGACTTAGAAACATACACATGAACACAGTGCAGTTTACCCAGTGCATGTAGAGGCAATAAAACCATGTCCTGGTATCCAAAACATCAACTCACCCCAGTCCAGGTCACACAGTTGACCATTTCCAGGACAGATTTATAGCCTTAAAACTTTGCATTTTATGAGCGTGCTCAGTGAGTGTGTAGGGCAAACATATCTCCAGGTCATATTTGACCCCAAAATTAAAAGAAAAATTTTGAAATGATATTTTACACAAAGAATATGAAGCCTATTTTTTCAGACCATTAAGATTGTTTTGCATTTGGCATTTTGCACATTTCTCCCAGAATGTCCATAATTGTCATTAGATTCTCATTCTTGTGACAGATTTTTTTTTAAATGTATTTTTTATTTATTTTAAAATGTTACTTTTCATTCCATTTCCACTTTTACATTTTTTGTTGTTAAAATAGCATAAATAAAAAGTTATATACTTTTTTGGTAATTTCCATTATTGTGATTCACATTTCTGTAAGATAGAACTTATTTTTCATTCATTTTCAATTTTTAATGTTTTAAAATACTTTATTTTAAAACGTTTGCTTTTTTTTTAATTTTTTTTTTACGTTTTTATTATGATTTTTTTTTTGTATAAAATGGCATAAATAGAATAGCATACATAAATTATACATGTATTTTGGTACTTTTTTGTTATTTCCATTATTCTCATTAGATTCTCATTCATGTAACAGATACCTTATTTTTATTTACATTTATCATTTATTTTTCAAAGTGAATTTTCTTAAGTTTACCTTTTTTTACATTTTATTTTTATGAAAATAGCATAAAAACAGTACAACAAAAATGAAAATATATTAATTTCATTCACATTAATTATTTTTTTTTGCATTTAAGTCATGAGAGCAATGAAAATAATGTCACAATGCAAAATAAATAAATAAATAAATATATAAATAAAAATAAGCTTCAAGTAAACTTGATTTTGGCTTGAAATATAACCCAGACATGTTCTTTAGCAGGTTGAAAAGATTCAGTACATTTTCAAAAGTCCATCACACAAACTAACAATTCAAAGTCACTCTTTAAACTGCTTCACCAGGATAAAGAAGCTCAGGGCCCAAAAGGGTCAGTGGTACCAGTCAGCATGTGTGTGTGTGTGTGTGCGGGCGCGAAAGTCATACCATTTCAACCTGCCGAGGGTCCAGCTGAGTCAGTTCTGTTGCCGGGACGGCGAACTGGATTTTCCTCCTTTCTCTGTGTTCCATGGGGCCCTCGGAGGGACTCGAGGGATCCATGATGTGCTTTCGTCCTCTGTCAGTCTCACAAATATTACTGGAATCTACCTATGCCTGTCTAAACATACATATGCACACACACGTGGTGTCCTCCAGGCAGCTTTCTTCAGTGCTCGTGGTGTTGTCTCCTCTCTCCTTGACTCTGATAGTAGTCTTCTGTGATTCTTTTCTCTGTCGAGCCTCAGATATACCGGCGGCCTCTTTTTTCCTTTCTCTTATCAGTGTGACCTCTGGTTTTCTCCCTCTCACAGTGTTTGGAGTCGGTGTGGGTGTCTTTATATTAGCCGGGAGGAGGGAGAGAGGCGGAGCTCAGAGAGAGGATGGTACACTAGAGTCTTTTAGCGGGGTGTGCTGACGTTGATTTCTAATCAGAAAAAAAAAGATAATCTCATCCAGCTGGCTGAGCCTCTTTTGGCCTCTATTTGTGAATAGGAGATTAATAGACAGCGAGAGAAATATATAGAGAGAGGGCAATAACTCATGTCAGCAACCAATTTCAATGTATACTTCAGTTTTACACATGTAAATAGACGTGTTGATGTTGAAAATCATCAGGAGTGACATTGATCTGATGTTTCGTACAACATCAATAACTTGTCTAACTACAGTAGCTCTGACTTAAAGGGATAGTTCACCCAAAAATGAAATCCTATCATTATTTACTCACCCTCATGTCACTTTAAAACTGTATGACTTTCTTTATTCTGTAGAATACAAAAGAAGATAACTTGGATTATATTTAATATGCCAATCAGATATTTTAAAAGCGACTTGTGTCTAAGTACTTTTTGGACCACCATTTGTATAAAATGCATCTGAAACCCAATATAAATAATGTTCGGCCTGTTGTGAGTATAAATGATTTTCAAATAATTCTGTAATACTGTAACATATACAGTGGGACATATCTCAGTTCAATAGATTTAAGAGTCAAAAATCAGGGGACATTCAGTGCTGTTATTGCTATAAATTTTTTACAAATTATTTTTGTTAATTGAAATAAAGCTGAAGTAAAATAATAGAAATATTAGATGAAAAACGTAAATTAGAAATGTTGCCTTTACATCTAACTAAAATAAATAAAGTTGAAGTAGTAAAATTACTCAAATTAAAATAAAACAGAAATAAAAAAGAAATATAGAAATAAATGGTAATAAAATGACAAAAGTGCATGAAATGACTAAAAATTACATTAAAATGAAACCAGAAAATATACATTTAAAAGCTAATTAAAAATATTAATAACTACTATAATAGTATATAAATTAAATACTAAAACAACACTGAGCATCAAGCAACTAAAGCAACAGAACGAGTTTGTGATGCAAATACACACCTGGGGCCAGCTGCATAAATATAGCCATTATGTGAAGACTGTGCCTTAAGAACTAGCATGACTAACTAGCAGTTAGCAAAAAAAAAAAACTAGCAGTTAGCCAAGTGGTAATCAGTCTGTTTGGTATCAATTTAGACAAATCTATATTTTTATGTAACTGACTTAAAAAGTTGTGAACGGTCTTAAAGAAACTTGTGAGACTAAGGTATCTCTGAAGTCATTTTTTTTTTGTCAAAATAACAATAAAACAACGCTTTGCAAGTCATATGTTCAGAAGTTATACAAACTCTCCAGCAGAAGATCCTCTCTCAACACACTCACTGGTGACACCTGGTGTACACCATGTAAAGCATGCGGTTCATTTTAGGAGATAATAATGAAAAGAGAATAATAGCAAGAGCAAATACAATTTGACCTGACACGTAGAAAGAGGATGAGTGGGTAAATTGCACTGAAAAAAAAAATCAATCATATATATTTACTCACAACATTGTTAAACTAATATTGTGATAAACTAATAAACATTGAGTGCTCACACATCAAATAAATCAGAAAGTTTCCGCTTTGCGCACCTGTTATATTTCAGCATGAGTGTTCGTGTGAGAGCTGAAATTCAGCTGGAGCAGCAAAAATAGTGACTAAAAATGGTTTTAATCAAACTCTCATCAGCGATTTCAGACATGCCTCTAATCTCTCGTTTGAGACTAAAGGATAACTGTGTCTATACATTACAAACAGTTAAACATAAGCAGAAGCTTCAAATGTGTTTGGCTTGAGATTCCCTCTAAAATGAAAAGCATATATACTGTAACCTGTATACTATAGTTGCACAACTAAGTACTTGACAGTCTTTTTCAGCAAGGGCGCAATAAATGGGTTAAAAGTGACATTTAAGACATTGTTACAAAATTTGTTCTTATTTTAAATAAATGCTGTTCTTTTGAACGTTTTATTCATCAAAGAATCCTGAAAAAATTAATTAAGCAGCACAACTGTTTTCAACATTGACAATAGTTAGAAATGTTTCTTGAGCAGCAAATCAGCTTATGTGACCCTGGATCACAAAACCAGTCATAAGGGTCCATTTTTTCAAAATTGTGATTTATATATCATCTGAAAGCTGAATAAATGAACTTTCCATTGATGTATGGTTGTTATGATAGGACAATATTTGGCTGAGATACAACTATTTTACAATCTGGAATCTGAGGGTGCAAAAAAATCAAAATATTGAGAAAATCGCCTTTAAATTTGTCCAGATTAAGTCTTTAGCAATGCATATTACTAAACAAAAATTAAGTGGGGGCGTAAGAGGAAGCCGGTGGTGGGGTGGCGCTCGGGGGAGAGGAGGGTCCCCGTCCAGGGCGCAGGTCTGTAGCGGGATGTCTGCTCTCTGAGGCCTGCTGGGAGATGAGCTGAAGCAGGGTCGTAGCTACATCTGATGTAATGTCGTGAGTGTGTTTTGCAGACTTCGAGCCTGTTGCCTCTGGATTTACTAATGCAGATTGACAAAATATCTTTATGGAACATGATCTTTACTTAATATCCTAATGATTTTTGGCATAAAAGAAAAATAAATAATTTTGACCCATGCAATGTATTTTTGGTTATTGCTACAAATATACCCCAGCGACTTAAGACTGGTTTTGTGCTCCAGGGTCACATATAATGAATGATTTCATTAAGCTTTGCATCACAGGAATAAATGACATTTTACAATATATATATAAATAGAAAACAGTTATTCTAAACTATAATAATATTTCAGTTTTTACTGCATTTTGGTCATTTTGGCTGCCTTGGCACACATAAGAGACTTCTTTCAAAAATATTTTAAAAGTCTTAAATGACACAACTATTTTGAACATCAGTGTACACATTTACACATTTAACTGACAAAATACATTTCAAAGCTTTGCACTCAACATTTTCAGACTAAATAAGTAAACAAATTGTCCTTACTCTTCTACTCACATTTTTCTAAATCCTGAATTGCAGTGGGAACAAACCAACAAATTCACTATCTAATGACCATGTCAGCAGCTGTGGACCACTCAGGCTGGCTAGCTTGTTTTTTATGCTGCATTCTGCAGATGGTTGAACACACACATTTTCTCACTCACATATTTATGCAGCATTTGCTCACAGATGAAATCTGACAAGTGCACGCTTCGACCTTCTTAAATCCCTCGATTTGAGCCACTCAATGCCAGTGCTCTAGATCTCCATTTGGCATCTACGAGAAACTGCCTGAAAGAACAGGAAAAAAAGCTTTGATTAAAACAAACTCCCTTGTATTAAACTTTAAGGCATGAATGTTTTTACTTAAAAAAAAAAAAATACTATTATAATACTCAACAGTAATCAGGTTAGATTTACTCATAACTTTGAGTCATTTAACTTCAGTTAAGTAGATTTTAATTACTTTTATAACTGTTAAAGTATTTAAAATGTGCCTAAAAAATTGCCTTAAAATTTTCTCAATTTCTCTTCTTTCACTGTGCTTCAAACCATGTGTCTTGTAGAGGTGCTATTACATTTCCAAGAGATTTGGCATTTTTTTTGCTAACCTGATTTCTTTTTTTTCCGCTTAGACAATGAAACTGGTGGAAAACCACTCAGAACACCTTAGCCACTGCATAGCAAAGTCATGGCATTCATCTACAAAACCCTAGTATTATGGCAGCATGTTTTGCATAAGCATGAACTTCAGAAATCCTATGTAATGCACTACTACAAAATGTTCAAAGTATTTATGGGTCAAAGACGAAAAAGGGTTTAAGCGTAAAAACAATGCTGCTTTAAATTGTTTTTCCAAAAAAAAAGAAAAATTAAAAAGTTTTCTGTTTCATGTAATTGTATTTTTGTTTTTCTGAGCAAAAAATAAATATCATACATTTTCCCGATTTACAGAAGACACCCACTAAAATGTCATTCAGTGTAACAATCTTGTCAGATATATTTACAACAAAAATCAATTTATGACATATTAAAAAACTAATTACTTTCACCCCAAATACTAATTAAATGTTATTTTAAATTGTTTAAATTTGCCACTATCCTAGGTTTTGCCCATTTGTCAGTAAGATTTTTTTACTCATTTAAAACCCAATAAAATGTTATATGCTCATTCTTTTATATATTTTAACCCCTTAACTGTCACTCACATTTTTAAACATAGACGTGAAAGTGCACAATCCAAACTTAAATTTTTATAATTCATGAATGAAAACATTTTGTAACATGATATTGATGTACCATTTTCATGGTAATGCAATGTCTGATTTTAAAATGGGTTTCAAAGGATGAATTTTGAGATTTTAAGTTTTCAATTGATATATCATTTCTGATGATTTCTAAAGTGTGATAGAGAAAAAGGCAACGAAGAAGACTTTTTTTTGACAAAGATCAGAACTCCTGTTATGATGTAGATTTTTGAGGCGCACTCGTCATAAATTAATCTATTACTTTTCCTACATAATTTTTACCAAAAACATTGGTAAAGTATCTATTTAGGAGTCTTAGACCTTTCCTACGATATATAGATTGTCATTAGATTTTAAAGGTGGGGTAAGCGATTTCTGGTAGCCAATGTTGACATTTGAAATCACCAAAACAAACACGCCCCTACCCCAAAAGGGTCTCGCCCATATTTTGATAGCTCCGCCCCACACATACATACAACCCAGGCAACGATTAGTTCTGTGAAACAAAGCAAAACCAATGTTACACCGTCTACACCGGACGCGAGTGGCACGGCGCGACAAAATACTATGGAACTCATTATAATCAGTGATGCTGTCTACACCATAGATATATATATATATATACATATCTATGGTCTACACTGGATACGGCGCGACAACAAATCCCCGACAGAAAACTGCTGCTGCGTTCTATTCATGACGTATTGGCACAAATTTCAAATGATTTTCAACGGTCGCTTTGTCACGTCCAGTGTACTAGACAGACTTTAGCTGTTGCGGCGCAGACACGGTGTTACTCACCTATCGAGAAGAAAAAGCAACCTCGGCGTCCGATCGCAGGCCCTCCACTCCTTCAGTTCTCTCCAGCGCTGGAAAGCTGATCCGATATTTACACGGGTCCTACTTCTTGCCTTAAGCCTTCTTATGTTCCGCAGACGTTTTCCTCTTTTGTTTTTTTATCCGCCATCTATCTTTCTGTCGCTCGTCTCGGCTAATGTACGTCCTGTGCACTGAACAGCTCTCTCCTCCACATCATGACAAAATACTATAGAACTCATTATAATCAGTGATGCTGTCTACACTGGATGCGGCACGGCGTGACACGACAAATCCCAGACAGAAAACTGCTGCTGCGTTCTATTTATGACGTATTGGCACAAATTTCAAATGATTTTCAACGGTCGCTTTGTCACGTCCAGTGTACTAGACAGACTTTAGCTGTTGCGGCGCAGACACGGTGTTACTCACCTATCGAGAAGAAAAAGCAACCTCGGCGTCCGATCGCAGGCCCTCCACTCCTTCAGTTCTCTCCAGCGCTGGAAAGCTGATCCGATATTTACACGGGTCCTACTTCTTGCCTTAAGCCTTCTTATGTTCCGCAGACGTTTTCCTCTTTTGTTTTTTTATCCGCCATCTATCTTTCTGTCGCTCGTCTCGGCTAATGTACGTCCTGTGCACTGAACAGCTCTCTCCTCCACATCATGAGTAGACACGCCCATTACTGCTGATTGGCTGGCTACAAGTTTGTTTTGCTATTCGGCCCGAATCAGTTTTCTAAAGCGTTTTTGAAAAATCGCTTACCCCACCTTTAATTGTATTATATTGAAGTAAACTTAGGCGTCCCACAGAGGGGACGGGTGACAGTTAACAGGTTAATATGTACAGGTCAGAATAAGCAAGTTGTTTGAATTTTTACATAACTATAGGTGTTACACTGAATGACAATGGAACATTATTTCAACCAAATTTTGACATTTTATTCTTCAAAAACTTATTTGAAACCTTAAATGTAGACACTTTACTTGCATTTAATGTGCTTTCTATGGACATAAAATCACTTTTGTAAATTTCTTTTGATGTGGACATCTTAACGTCTTTGACCCGCATATAAACGTGTATGATAAAATTGCCATGCATATATTTACATTAAATGTACCAGACACATTTTACTCAGCCACATTTTTAATTTATTATCAGTTTACAACATGTACATTGGGTGTAGTCAAATCAAAACTGGCAATTCTGGCGCTAAAATTCAAGTCAGTTCAGTGTCTTTCTGAAGATGTTTTCGATTTAAATTAACTTTGCTAAACCATGTGGTCCTGAAAACAACATTTGGATGAGGACATACATTTTCCCCCCACCAAAAATCTAAATAAGAACACATCTTATGCACAAGCTATTACAAATCTTTTAAAACAAAGGCCTCACTCAAGTACTGCAAATGACTTCAAGTTCTCCTTATGCCTTTGGGATGAAGTAGCACAAGCTGGATCGAGCCTCTTGCTTTACACATATCAGCACGAAAGAAAGTAGCTTGATTTAGACATTTACGCAGCCCTCAAAGAAATCGCACATGGCTAAAACTCACTGACCGTCGTGGAGAAGTGGGAAAAGACAGCCTCCAAATAATGCTGTACATCTCTGGGAGGGATGAACATCATCCATTCGCATTCAAAAACAGTTCCTTTAACATTCACTTTTTCCTTTAATGGAAGAAAGAAATATATTAATATGTGGTAAACGTAGGTTTAACAGCTAAAGCACATTAAGTAAAAAATGACAACGAACAAAAAGATCAGCGCAGCGGTTCAGGAAGGGCCT